TTTTTTTTTTTTAATTTTTTTTTCAACGTTTTTTATTTATTTTTGGGACAGAGAGAGACAGAGCATGAACAGGGGAGGGGCAGAGAGAGAGGGAGACACAGAATCGGAAACAGGCTCCAGGCTCCGAGCCATCAGCCCAGAGCCTGACGCGGGGCTCGAACTCCCAGACAGCGAGATCGTGACCTGGCTGAAGTCGGACGCTTAACCGACTGCGCCACCTGTGTGAGATTCTTGCAGGGAAGGTTTGACCCAAGTCTCATAATAAAGAAACCTCTAGACAATTCCAGAATGTGGAGTTTTCTTCAGAATACCTGGCCTTTTCAGAGGTTTCAATGTCATGAGCAGCCAGGGGAAGTGGGGTACTATGCTAGGATGGGAGAGACTAAAGAGACAAAACGGCCAAATGTAATGGTATGAACCTTGACTGATCCCAGGTCAGAAAAAAAGCTTATGTAAACGACATCTGGTGGACAACTGGGGAAACTTGAGGATTATATTATTGATTCGTGTAGATTTCCTTTGTGCGGTAATTGTATGAGGTTCGTATGCGAGAATGTCTTTGTTCTTGAGATAGGTATGTTGAAGTATTTGAAAGTAATGTGTATAATGTCTGCAGCCTACTTCCAGGTGATTTTCCTAAAAAGAAAGAAGATGGGGTTTGTGTGTATTTGTGGAGATATGAGTGTATGGGCATATACATGTGTGTGTGTGTACTCACACACGGAGTAATAAAATGGTAACATCTGGAGAACCAAATAGGTTAAAAGTGGACAAGTATTTATTTGTAGTTCTGTTCTTTACAATAGTCTGTGAGTTAAAAAAAATAATTTATAAAACTCAATGGATGAATTAATCCATCCAATGGATGAATAATAGGCACTTCTAAAGAGAAACATAATGAACTGGAAAATAAAGCTGAAGAAATCTCACAGTGCAGAGAAGATAAATGTAAGCAGCTTAGAGACAGAATGGAATAGAAAGACCTAACCTATATCAAATTGGAATTCTTTGGATCAGATAAAATAGAAACAATTAATGAGACAATATTCAAATATATCAAGAGATGATCATTTTTAAGAACTTGTGGAAGACATGAATTAAAAGATGAAGAAATTACAAGGTACAACAAATAAAGCAACAGTTAGACATCGTGTAAAAAAATGCAGATGCCAAGCCAAAGGACAAAACAGCCTGAAAGAAAAATTATCTACAAAGAAACTATAATTAGGCCGGCAGCTGGGTTATCAGTAGCAAAAGTGGAAGCCACAAAACTGTTAAGAACTTTTAAAGTAACCGAAGAACCTTTTTGTCAACTTAGAAAAACTGTCTTTAAAAATTTTTTTTTCAACGTTTTTTATTTATTTTTTTTTGGGACAGAGAGAGACAGAGCATGAACGGGGAGGGGCAGAGAGAGAGGGAGACACAGAATCGGAAACAGGCTCCAGGCTCCGAGCCATCAGCCCAGAGCCTGACGCGGGGCTCGAACTCACGGACCGCAAGATCGTGACCTGGCTGAAGTCGGACGCTTAACCGACTGCGCCACCCAGGCGCCCCGAAAAACTGTCTTTAAAAATACTGGTAGAAACATGGGAGGAAGAGCTAAGGTGGTTGGAGTAGTGAGGGGACCCTGGGCTTGTCTCATCCCTCGAATGCAGCTGGATCAACATCAAACCATTTTGAACACCTCCGCAGTCGATCTGAGGATTAACAGAAATCTGCATAATTTGAGGGAGAGAATATGGAAAGTACATAATGCAGAAAGGTGACCCGGGGAAGAGAAGAGCCTCAGCGTCCCAAAGGAAGGGAGCTGTTTTCACAGAGAGGAGGACGGGGGAGAGAGGGCAGCACTCCTGGTTTGTTTAAGAAAGCACTCCCTCTGAAAGCAGCTAGAGAGGAAGTGTGAACACATGCCCAGGGGACTGCACAAGAAAACATTTCCCCAAAACCAGTGATGGGGGGGGCGGGGGGGGGGGGGGGGGGGGGGGGGGAGAGGAGAGGGTTTCAATACCACCAGTTTTTTCACAAACAGCAGAGCCCAGAGTCTGAAATTTGAGAAGTCGGCCCCTGGCAGTGCTTCAGCCAGAAAGCAGGGTGGAGCCCTGCGAGCAGGCCGAGCAGGCCGTGTGGGCCACAGCGGGGAGAAGCAGTTTCCCTGCTTGGAGGGCATTGGATAAAGGTGATACGGCCTCTCCATGGGTGAAAACCTGGTGAGAGCCATCAACCCACCACACTCACTGGTATAGGAACAAAGTTGCTGGCTGAGGGCAGCAAACCCCGGCACCTGCTACATGTTTTCCATAAACTCTGAGCGCTGTGCATTGGTGTGACCATTTCCTGGGACAAGTCAGCCCCAGCCACAGCCTGGCGAGACCCTCCCCCAGAGGACCACTGCGGGTTCTAGCCACAGAGGTCTCTTAAGTGTGGGGTTTTGAAACACAGCTGCACCTGAGACAAAACTCTGGAGGGAGGCGCCGCGTAGTAGGCAGATGGCTCAGACACAGGGGAAAGGTAGGGAGGTGATGAAAACCAGGGACATAGGAGGGGTGACTGATCACACATTGGTGAGGGCATGAACCACCCACTCTGGAGACTGGAGAGTAGGGTGAAGCCGTTTTTACCATTAGCCCACCAGCACTGATCCACCCCAATGAGATGAACAGCATCACCAAGTGAAGAATGGAGCTGTTACACCAAGCCCTGGCTACCCTGTGCTTTCAGGTGCCTCTCCACCAGGGCAAGCCACCTGAGAATCAGAGCTGCAGGCCCCTCTCCCAGAAGACCAACACAAATCCTTTCCACCAGCTAGGCTACTGGCCGTAGACTGCTGCAAAGTTTCAGCTCTAGGGGAAACTGTTTCTAGGGGAAACCTTATTTGGAGGTTTTTGTTAATTTGTTTGGTTTTTTTGTTGTTGTTGCTTCTGTTTTGTTTTTGTTGTTTTCTTTGTTTCTTGGATACAGAAAGGACAAAATTTTTTATTTTAATTTTATTTATTTGATCTTTTTATTTATTTTTTTTTTAATTTTTTTTTTTAACATTTTTTATTTATTTTTGAGACAGAGAGAG